CCGGTCATATGCCTTGAGCATCCACTATCGATGTACCATCTCTTGCTCATAGCTTGTGATGGTATATGTTTCTACAAGAAAGGATGATTTTTAGGTACCCATTTACTTTTGGGTTCCTCAAAAACTGATCTAAATTATTTATCATGTTGCATAGAATTTATCATTGTTCCTTTAGGAACCCAAATCAGTTTATTTGGACTAACATTCTTGAATGGACAATAAGTTCTATGTCCATGTTTGTAACAAAAGTTGTATTTGCTTTGGTGTCGAACTTGTAAGATAGGGCCTTTAATGAAAGTGGTTGGATTTTGGTGAGGACTTCTCACAAATCCGATTCCACTTCTTTTAGGAACGTGACCCTTATTTATAAGGATCATGTTCAAAGACTTGCTACCAACCTCAAATTTCTTCAAGGTGTCCTTAAGTAGCAAGTTCTCCTTTTAGAGAGTTTCTAGATCATGACATTTTATACATGAAGCTAAACTATCATGATATTCAGTTTTTAATTTATCGAAATTACTAATAAGACTATCATGCTCCTTTTTTAACAATTTATATTTTCTACTAATTGTTTTGCATTCATCAAATAAGTCATGGAAGGTATTTAATAATTCATTAAATGATAAATCTACATTAATTAAATTTGTTACCTCCTCTCCGATGGCCATTAGGGCGTAATGAACAACTTGTTCGGTGTTGGACTCCTCTTCTTCGGACAAACCTTCGGCGATGCTCCGACGGACTTCCGGCAAACTCCTAGACTTGTGACGATCCACTTGGCGAGTTCCGACAAGCTTCTTTTAGCAAGCTCCTGGACTTCTCGGATTTGTTCCCGCAGAACCTCCGACGACCGTCCGAACTTCCGTCGAGCTCTCGAACTCTCAACGTGATCATAGTCTTGACTCCGGCACAACTCCTGCTACATGTCTTACTTTCATCGTAGTTAATCCTGCACACTTATCTCAACATATGGATTAGATAACAAATGACAATTGACGTCATCATCAAAATCCGAGATTCAACAGTCTGATCCTTTGGTGTGTCCCTTGATTCATTCTACCCGATGCTCGATCATTGACTCTAGCCTAACATTCGATTTTTCTTTAATTGTTTTATCTTTCTCATGATTGTAGTTAGTCCATGATCACTTATCCCAAGATATAGATTAGATCATTAATTCACCAATTGATTTCATCATCAAAATATAAGATTCAATAGCTAAGCGATAGTACTGCTAAAGTCCAATCTTTACGGCTCTGTCAAGTAGTGGTATTATCGAGACTAGGTGATGATACCGCCCAATGTCAGTCTATAGGTGATGATACTGGGGGTGGTACCGGTAGTACCCCAGAAACCCGAGATGAGATATTTTTGGCTTCATTTTTAAAGCCATTGAGGTTTATATATACCACACTCTTTCCTGCATGAAAGAGCACGAAAGTGTGAACAAAAGTTTTGAGATTTTGGGTTGTAAAAATGTTGAAAAAGTATTAAGTGTCCTCCTCCTCCTTAGTTTTGTGATCATTCTAAGAGAGGTATGAGGCTTATAAATATTATCTCATAAACTTTTGAAAAAGAGAAAGAGTTGTAAGAAAGTAGATGGTCTTCATCCATTGAAAGAAGATCGTTAGTGGATGCCGGTAGCCTTAACGAAGGAGGAATCACGAGTGGACGTAGGTCTTGACGATTGAACAACTATAAATTCAGTTTGCACTTTCTTTTTCAGTTTCATTGCTATTACATTCTGAGTTAATTGCTCACTTCACTTACTCTAAGTCAATCAAACAAAAATTTTCTAAAATTAATATTTTTATTAAAAGTACTAATTTACTTTTTTTTTAGTGTCGATTTGATGCTAACATAAATCACTCGCAAGCAAGTCGTTTTTATTCTCTGGATGGGTCCATACTTTTGAGACCGAATCAGGTGTTTGATTTTTCGGTCAACGGCACCCAAAAACTAAGAAAATCAAATAATCGAATCGCCCCTCCCAGAAATCAATAGTTTCAATTTTTAACCTAGTAACCAAGCCTCGAGGAAGCTGCCATTTTATATTGTTTATTGTATCAGGTGAGCGCGTGACGAGTATAGGACGGTTGGAGAAAGCCGGCCTTTACGGAGCCAAAAGCTTGGTTAGGTACAGCACCTGTTCATGAGGCGTCCGCGTGCGCCCCGTGACTACGCCCACCACTCATTTCTCCAAACGCTTCCGTTTCAGCCACATGTTCTCCAGGCGTTTGTTTAAATGCCAACTTCTAGACCGTCGTCTCCCGTTTTAGCGGTCGTTGTACATATCGATGTTCGTCACTGTGCAGGAAGAAGGGGGTAGATGAAACGAGTGGTAGCTGGCGACGCCACTCGTCCTTTTAAATGCTCACTACTTCGTCTAAGACCTTCTCATTCCCACACAGTTCAGATCGTTCAAGTGGGACAAGATGGCCCCCGGCACTGCATTGCTTCCCACGAACGAGGCGACCCTGAGGGCGAGCTTCGTGCGGGACGAGGACGAGCGACCCAAGGTGGCCTATAACCAATTCAGCAGCGACATCCCGGTGATCTCGCTCGCCGGGGTTGACGACGAGGACGGGGCCACCGGCGGGCGGAGGGCGGAGATCCGCCGCAAGATCGTGGAGGCCTGCGAGGACTGGGGCTTATTCCAGGTGCTGGACCATGGAGTGGACGCCGGCATGATCTCCGAGATGACCCGGCTCGCCCGGGATTTCTTCGCGCTACCCCCCGAGGAGAAGCTCCGGTTCGACATGTCCGGCGGAAAAAAGGGAGGCTTCATCGTGTCCAGCCATCTCCAGGTAGAACATGTTTGACGAAGCCTTCTCACGAAGTTGGTGGATTCCATGGGCTAAGAACTAATTCGATTGATGTCACGCAGGGTGAGGCAGTGCAGGACTGGCGAGAGATCGTGACTTACTTCTCGTACCCGATCGGAGCTCGGGACTACTCGAGGTGGCCGGATAAGCCAGAAGGGTGGAGGTCGGTGGTGGAGTCATACAGCGAGAAGCTGATGGGGTTGGCGTGCAAGCTGCTGGAGGTGTTGTCGGAGGCAATGGGGCTCGACAAGGAAGCCCTCACCGATGCCTGCGTAGACATGGATCAGAAGGTGGTGGTCAACTACTACCCCAAGTGCCCCCAGCCCGACCTCACCCTCGGCCTCAAACGCCACACCGATCCCGGTACCATCACCCTCCTCCTCCAAGACCAAGTCGGCGGACTCCAAGCCACCAAGGACGGCGGCAAGACGTGGATCACAGTTCAGCCCGTGGAGGGAGCTTTCGTCGTCAACCTCGGGGACCATGGCCATGTGAGTATCAGCAAACGCCTTCTTTCTGCGAATGGCATACAGATCTGACATGCTTCTCTCTGAGACGGGCGCAGTATCTGAGCAACGGGAGGTTCAAGAACGCGGATCATCAGGCGGTGGTGAACTCGAGCTGCAGCAGGCTGTCGATCGCCACGTTTCAGAACCCAGCGCCGGAGGCGATCGTGTATCCCCTGGCGATAAGGGAGGGAGACAAGCCGATCCTGGACGAGCCCATCACGTTCAGCGAGATGTACCGTAGGAAGATGAGCCGAGATCTCGAGCTTGCCAACCTCAAGAACCTGGCCAGGGCGGAGCATCAGCGGCTGGAGTTGCCGGAGAATGCCAACGACATCAATGTAGCAAAGGCGAAATGCCTAAATGAGATCCTAGCTTAATATATATGCTATAGGTCTATGCCATCTCTCACGTCCGAGCCACATAGTTTCCCGTCCGTGCGACGGTGAATGCTGTAATAAGATTTCGAGTACTCAGATATCTATAAAAAAATGTTCCGCAATTAAATTAAGATATCAATTACATCTAAAATATGATATAATATACTCACATATCAAGGATTAATGGTTAGAAATATTATTCAACAAAGAAAATATTAATTAAAATATTTATCAAGGAGCCTAATAGGGTATATTCTGACATTAAGCGAAGCCTGCTGGATGCCACGAGGGAGTTGTGTGGAAGACAAAGACTAATTCTTTTTATTATCTATAGGGGGATGTATGGACCCGCAGTCCACATAAATGAACTACAAAAGAAGGATGTTCGGACAGGGATGGGCGACCCTATGATTTCCTAAGTATAAGAATCGATCCTCGATGCCTGCATAGGGATAGAACCTCTCTCACTATGATCATCCTCGTCCTCACTATTTTAAGAAGAGCTAACTTGATCATCGAAGGAGTCGGGTTGGGAAATACACCTCCCCCCGACGTCGACATTTGTGTAGAATCCCCAAGAGACCAAAATCCACCCAAGGCCTCCTCGTTCCCTATGGGGACCAAACTCACTCAATGCCACGAGGGTCACTTGGACAACCTTGCACCTTCGAGACAAGATCGAGTTGTATCGATCTTTAGTTGACGGTATTAAGACAGTAACATTTTGGCACTAGAAGGAGTGCCTGAATGTTGCAAAAACATCCCCTAGCGAAGCCTCTCAACAAGCACTAAGAGGCATTGCTACCCACACACAATACTTTTGTGCAAAGAGGATAATTGCCTTCCTTCCCTTAGGTGGACGTATCCACCTCGACCCAAACCCTAGGGCGCTACTAGTGTTTGTTCAATAACTCTGGGCTTTCACCTCCAAGGGCAAGCGCGGGACACTTGGTCATTCTTGCTAAGGCTTTTTTGAGCCTTGCACACTAGGTGTAGTCCCTCATCGGGATGATGCAAGCCATCACCCCACTCCTACCCTAATTTGCCTAACAAGCAATGCCCCCTTCACAACCATGGCTAATGACTCAACCATCGCCTACACCCACACTCCTTGGGGTTCCCCTGATCGATCCATTGCTGGAAGCCTCAGATTGCCCTTGATTGGTGGAAATACCAGTTCGAGCACCGCACTCCCCAACGGTACAATTTAGTGCTCCCTACATCACAGGCTGGCATTGCCTAAGTCGAAGACCCAATCGATCGACTCAATGGATGATTCACTAAGAGCCCAATTGTGAATGGTGAATTGGTGCCTAGACAAGGTGCAACGGGAGTTCCTGCACTCAAAGGGGGAAGCGAACGACCTCACCTCAGGTCGTTCTCCATTTGTCCAAAGTATCCAAAAGGAGCCACTCTCAACCAACTTTCACCTCCCGTCATTAGAGGCTTTTGATGATAGCTCTGACCTAATGAAGCACACCATGGCCTTTTGAGCCCAATTGTTATTATACGATACCTCGGATGCTATGATATGTTGAGCATTCCCAACCACCCTAAGAGGCTCAGTGCAAAAATGGTACAACCGCCTGAAACCTATTAGGATCATAAAGGCACTAAGATAGGGAGGGTGAATTAGTTCTTTCGAAAAGTTGAGCTGATTTAAAAAATTTCATTCGATGAAACCTGTATCGGAAATATATTTAACTTGGAAAGTAAGTAAAGGTAATGAGCAACTAAATCAATAAGTAATAAGAATGAAAAGCATAAAGGAAATGCATACCAGATTTATAGTGGTTCGGTCGTTGCAATTGCTGAATTTTAGATTTTGATGATGAAATCAATTGATAAGTTTATGATCTAACAAGCATTTTGAGTGACACAGGACTAGCTTCGATCATGGAGAGATAATTTGATTAAAGCAGGAAGAATCAATGTTGGGCCGAAGTGAAATATGTTAGAAGATTGAGTGTCGAGCAGAAGGATCAGTTAATAAGATTGAGTGGTTAAAGGCTTCATGCCATGAGTTCGGGTATCGGGCCAATAAGATTAAACATTACACCAAGGAGATCAGATGTTGCGGGAAGACAACATACCGATTAGGCAATATGCCGAAGGAAAGGATGATGCACGAAGGGTCGAACGAAACGCCGGATGAACCAATGACATGTTGGACAACATGTGATTAATATTTTATAATAATTTATCTAGATCGAGTTAGTTTAGGTCTAATTGAGTCGGTATTAGGGTGAAACAATACCAACTCAAATAGGGGCTAATTGGGCTTGAATCAGGGCTAAATTGGGCTTACTGTTTAGCCCATTCAATGTCATATAGTAGAGTTTGGTGGTGATACCACCCAGACTGGACAGTGGTACCACTCAAACAAAAACTTCAAGATTATGTCAAGCGGTGGTACCGTCAGATTGGGCGGTGGTACCGCCTAGTGTCAATATGTCAGACGGTGATACCGCTAGACTGAGCGATGGTACCACCCAATGTCAGACTGGTAGGAGGTGGTACCGCCAGTACCTCGAAAACCCGGGGATTTAAATTTTGGCTCCAAGTTTTGAATCCATTTAGGGTCTATAAATACCCCATAAATTCTTACTTGGAACACACACGAAAATAGAGCAAAAACTCTATGATTCTAAGGTTGTAAACTTTTTTAATTATAGAGTCCCTCCTCTAAGTGCTTAGCGATAGTCCTAAGGGAGGTGTGTGAGGGAACACTTGTAAAAGATGGGTGTAAAGGTTCTCTACTGAACTTGTAAAAAGGAGAAAGAGTGTAAGGATAGTTGATCTTCACTCATTGGAAAGAAGATCAGTAGTGGAAGTTGGTGGCCTCGAGTGAAGAGGAATCAGGAGTGGACGTAGATCATGACGACCGAACCACTATAAATTCGATGTACTCGGTTTGCATTTTTATTATGCTTTTCATTCTCATATTGCAAATTGATTTTCTTGCTTACTACTTTCACTATGCTTATGAATGCGCTTTCATGTGAAACTCATTTTTCTGATATGAGCTTTATTGAATGATATTTTTGAATTGATGTAATTTTTTGTACGCACTAATTCATCCCCCCTTTTAGTGTCGACTTGATCCTAATAGTTGGTATCAGAGTCATATTTTATTCGATTGGATTAACACCTAAGAGAGATGACTTTTTTTTACTTTCAAGAGGGTCTTTCTATCACTCGTCCTCCTATATTCAATGGGATGGACTACACTTATTGAAGAACTCGGATGAGAGTTTTCTTACTTTCTTTGAACTTTGATTTATGAAATATTGTTGAACTTGATTTTCAAACCCCCTCTAAACCTATGAATGAATGGAATGACTTTAAGAAAAAAATATTTTATTTAAATACGAAATCTATGAATGCTTTATTTTACGCTTTGGATAAAAACGGGTTTAATCGTATTTTGACTTGTGAAACTACATATGACATTTAGCATACTCTTGAAATCACACATAAAGACACAAGGATGGTTAAAGATTCTAATGTTAATCTCTTAATGCATGATTTTGAATTATTTCGTATGAAACCAAGCAAAACCATTGGAGACATGTATACCCATTTTATGGATATCGTCAATGGTTTAAATGCACTTAGTAAAAGTTTTTCAAATCTTGAAATTGTGAATAAAATTTTACGTTCTCTTCCTGAAAACTGAGATTCAGAAGTAATTGTCATTCAAGAAGCAAATGACCTAAATAATTTTCCTCTTGAAAGACTTATCGGGTCTTTAATGAACTATGAAATGAGTTATATGACATAAGACGAACATGAGAACAACCTTTCAAAGAACAGGAAAGATATGACACTAAGAACCAAAGAATATCACTTAAGTGATAACTCAAGTGATGATGATAATGACATAGAACTTTCGATGAGAAAATTCAAAAAATTCATAAAACAAGAAACTAAGAAAAAAAAAAAGCTCAAAAGGAACACAATAACTTGTTATGAATGCAATCGACCGGGGCACATCAAAAGCAAATATCTGCAACACAGAAGAAAAAGACATTCAAAGTTACATGGGACGAATCGAGTACATCCGAAGACGAGGAGCAAACCGATAAAGAAGAGGTGGCGAACTACACCTTGGTGGCTTTCTACAATGAGGCAAATAACTTAACCAAAACCCCTTTACTTTACTATGAAATTACTTAATGCATTTCATGAGTTGTTTTTAAACATCACCAACACTTAGAACTTGAGAGAAGTTCTCACAAGATTACAACAGCATTTTTCTTTCATTTTGCTTTCAATTCTTGTGTAATCTGAGCAGGGGATGAGAGGGGTATTTATAGGCTCTAAATGGATTCAAACTTGGAACTTAAAAGTGTCTCATTCCCGATTTTCAGGGTACTAGTGGTACCATTGCTTGTGCTGGGCAGTACTACTGCCTACACCACTAACACTATGTGGTACCACCACCCAGTCTGGCGGTATTACCGCCTGACACAGTCTTGGAGATTGAGCCACTAGCGGTGCCACCGCTTGGATCGGTGGTGCCACCGCTTGACCCAAATTTTGGGTCACTGAATGGGCCTTTCTCTCGACCGAAAATAGCCCCACTTTGGGTCTAATTGACTCCTAATTGAGTTGACCTAATTATATTCTAAACCAATTCAATTAGATCTAAACTAACTCGATCTAGATAAATTATTACCAAGTATGAATCATATGTTGTCCAACATGTCATTGGTTCTTCCAGCGCTTCGTTTGATCCTTCGGCGCATCGTGTGCTCCTTCGGCGTATTGCCTAATCAGTATATTGTTTTCTCGTAACATCTGATCTCCTTGGCACAATGTTCGATCTTCTTTTGGCTCGATGCCTGAATTCATGGACCAAAGAATTCTGCCGACACGTCGACCGATCCTCCAGCTTGATGTCCAATCTCCTAACATGTTCAACTCTGGCTCAACATTAAATTCCTCTTGCTTTAATCAATTTGCCTCTCCTTGATCGAAGCTAGTCCCACGTTACTCAAAATACAAATTAGATCACAAACACACCAATTGGTTTCATCATCGAAATCTGAAATTCAACAATCTCTCCCTTTTTGATGATGACAATCAATTGATGACGGAGTTTAAACTAAACTCTCCCTATCAATAT